TGGGGTGGGGTAGTTACAGCACAGAACTAGCACACGCCTGAAGTCTGCTTCCAGCTCCCTGAGTATTTAAAAAGGTATCTTACCAAGCAACTAATCTCCAGGTACCTCAGGTTCCTCAACTATGAGGTGACAACAGTGTTTACCAAGTCCAGGAGCCTTGGCTTACAAAAAGCACCAGAAAAGCTAATCCTTGTAACAGTGACTAGGGATAGTGTCTTTGTTTTGACTGTTTAACCGCAACAGCTGGATATTCACATCATAAATTTGCAAGGAGACAGTTAATCCTGTTTTGTGTTGCAGTACTTTGTATTTGCATGCTTCTTCGCATTTATGAAGAACGTTTTGCATTCTTCTTACAAAAAAGGGAAAGGTGCAAAAAGACAGTTTCTACTGTTTAGAGACAGAAAGTTTGTGGCAGGAGAAAATGAATTCTTGAACAATTTTGAATTAGAGAACTACTAAAAGCTTTAGAATTTAAGCATTTAAATTCCAGAAGTGAGTGGAACAGAACTTCTGGAACAAAACTATATAATCTGTATTGTCTTCTCTAGCTGCCCTGCCTGTACCCACAATTGCTGCAATAGATGGCTACGCATTGGGTGGTGGACTGGAACTGGCGTTAGCTTGTGACCTTCGAGTAGCAGGTTTGTGCGTTGCTTAATGTAGGATTCTTTTTGTAATCAGTGACTATATTTTAAAGATAACTTACATGCATGACAGCTGACTGTTAATGGAATCCAGTAGGCTAAGAGGGGAACTTAAACAGTTCAAGAAATGAGTAGGCATTTGTCCAGAAATTGTGACATTTCGTTACTATTGAGAAAGCAGTTTCCTTCCTTAAAAAGTAAAGCCTATTTTTAGACTAGATTAGGATTCCTTCAGAAAACTATTTATTGGTAGAATTGAATAGTTATTATCATGTAATACTGGATCAGCACTCTGGCTAGATCTAACCTTCCCTACTTAAATCAATTTGAACTGGAAGACTTCCTTCTTCTGTTTCCATTCTTCCATCCATTACCTTTCATCTAGTATGGACCCGAGGTTCATTATTCTAGATAAAATTGCTACATTAGGGGTAAGCAGCCATACTACACATCCCTCATCTGACTTGAGATGGACATTGATTAAGCACTGTAGTAGTCAGACTTTCTAGCTCCCTGGAGAAATGGAGTTCCAGTTCAGTATTGACAGTTTGTAGTTTTATTAATCAGTTCGGTATGGAAAATCTGTAGTTACGCAGATCAAAAAGTAACTAAACCTTATATTTATTTTTTAATAGCTTCATCAGCTAAAATGGGCCTTATTGAGACCACAAGAGGGCTTCTTCCTGGAGCAGGTGACCTTCATTAAATCTTCAGTCTCTTACTTTTTCAGCTGTATAGTAAATATTTTGCCATTAGAGCACTTGAAGTGTTTTGAATGTAAAATAGAAGTAGCATCTTACCATGACCCAAGAGATCTATGAATCAAGAGTTCTGTTCCAAGCCCTGTCTCGGACTTGCTATGAATTTAGGAGAGTCCCTTTACACCTTTTCCTGTTTATTGGAATACTCAAAAGGATGCTGAAGCCTTTCAGATGCCTTGCAAACTGTTGACATATTCAGCTAGTAGTTATTAAAGAAACACATGATCTTTTTATTTTTCAAACCTCCTTGTTATATAAGGAGACAAAATACTATTGTTTTTTGGGCATTTCTCAGAAATGGAAAATGGTGTTTTTGCTGTTGTCATAAGGTGGAACCCAGCGCCTGCCTAGATGTGTTGGAATAGGTCTTGCAAAGGAACTAATTTTCACTGGTAGACAGATTGATGGACAACAAGCCTTCTCAATGGGATTAGTAAATCACACAGTGCCACAAAACAGTGAGGGAGATGCAGCTTACCAGAGAGCATTAACTTTGGCTAAAGAAATCCTTCCTCAGGTAAGTGTATTATTCACGTGGTCAATGTAAAGAAGGCATTTCTGCTTCCCTTAAGAGAGAGCAAACAAACAGTTGAAATTCCTTTCTATGAAATATTAGTGTCTTGGTTCCTGATATTTTAAGTCTCTTAACTCTGTCCTTTTTTGTAATGCAATTTCTGTAGGAACAAGTCTTAACATCCAGCTGCTTAACCTATAGCACAGTTTCACCTCCTAGCTGTGGTTATGCAGACCTGTAAGACACATTGAAACCTTGCACCACGTACATCTATTAACTGTAGATAACACCAAATTGTTTTTTAAAAATACTTACTAACTTATTGCAAATTTCTGTAGACTAAAAGGTCATTTGGAGGTAGGATAATGATACAACTATGCTATTATGAACTGCTGTGGCTTTAATTATTTTTAAATGTTTATTGTGGTTTGTTTTGGTTTTTTTCCTTTAATAAAGGCTCCATTTGCTGTGAAAATGGGCAAACTGGCAATAAACAGAGGAATGGAGGTAATGTGTTTTTTTTTAAATGCTGTGGTAAATGAAGCAGACAGGCTGTTTAGAACAGATGAGTTATAATCCTTGTTTAGACAAGGCATTTAAAACCATTTCAGGTGTTTTAAAGACTTTCTTTAAAGACAAAGTTAATATGGCAGGATTTTTTTTTCTACAGATGCTAGCACTGTAGTTCTAATACAGGACTACAAGTCACTCACTACAAGTGAATGTTTATTGATTTGAGGGCTGTGAAGAGTTTTGAGGGCTATACTTCAGACAAGTCTCACTCCTTCCCTCTCATCCCCAGGTTGACATTGCATCAGGGATGGCTATTGAGGGGATGTGTTACGCCCAGGTAGGTTACCTTCAGAATACATTCCTGAAAGGAACAACTACATTTTCTAAAGCCAGGTATTCACAGCATCCTCTTGTATTTTCCTCTCTATAAGGGAACACTAACAGCTAAATCTAAAGCTTTGAGAACATAACTTGAGTGCAGTTCCAGATACCTATTTCAGAATACTAATTTTTGTGTCACACATAGCTGCCTCCCTCAGCTTGCCTGAGGCCAGAGTCCTTCCTTAAATACCGTTCTAATGTAATTGTATATTCTTAGTTTCAACGATGTTAACTATAGGATAAGCTTTACGAATTGTTTTAGTTTTAACAAATTAAAAACCAGATTCCTCCTGTAGTCATTCTTTCTGACAAGTTTTGAGACCATGCACCTTTCTCAGCTAACGGAACAATGTAACTGCTGTGCCTCTCTGTATTTTAAGATGATAAAGTATTAAATTTATGGAAAATTGTTTTCTTATATAGTTCTGTGGTCTATGGTCTTTGTCTTAAGTGCTTTGCTTGTGATTTACACTACAACCCAGTCTCCTTATTTTCCTAATTGCAAAACATGGAAGGTGGGACCTTTAATGTATCATTGAAAGAAAAGGAATCTTAGTCTTGGACCACTACTGCCAAATTAGTCAGTACTTAAAAACACAGACTTGTCAATGAAAAACATACCACTTTTTTTTCTTTAAAAATTTAGAATATTCCCACAAGAGACCGTCAGGAAGGGATGGCTGCCTTCAGGGAGAAACGACCACCTCAGTTTATCGGCAAATGATGCTTCCTAGCTTCCCCTTGATTTTTTTGAAGGTAAAGGAGGACTGAAGAAGACCCACTGATTTCTTGGGATTATTTTTATGACTGCATTCTGTGTACTTAGCTCCTTGCTTTGGACTGCATTTCTAAATACTCCACTGGATCATTTTGCTGTAAGAATTCCCAAATAAAGATTTAACTTTGTACAGCTGATCTTTTTAAAGAGCATACATCTTAAGTCAGTGGTTATGGCTCTCAAACAGATGTCAAGTAAGGAGTATGGAGAAGCTTTGGCTTACCATAAGCAAATTAAAAAAAGGCAGAAAACATGCTGCATCAAAACATTGATAGGAAAAAGAAAAAAATCACTCTGAAGAGAAAGTCAACTTGTAAAGAAAGAAAACCTTCCTAAGCTTGCTTCCCATTATCAGTGCTCTTCCAATTAAACAGACAGAACTAGCAGTATTAGTACAGCAATGGCATTTTACTCTGGATCTGTTGTGAGTAGTGCAAAATGTCATGCTATCGCTCCAGCCAACTGAACTTATGTCTCTTTGGTATCAGTGCTTGAGAAAATGCAAGGCCTGTATGTGCACATATATATGGCCACCATATCAGTCTATGCCAGACATCTCAAGCATGTCACCTCTCTCCCATCACCTATTTTTCTCTGTTGCCTGCCTGAAGTTATTTTTTCTCCCTCTGCTTAGAGGTTCTCCAGCACTGAGATGTACCACACAATTTAGCTCTACAACTTCTTACTTCCCTAGACTGGGGCTTTCAAGCAAAAGTGAATTAGTATAGTTACAGAAATACATTTTTAGTAATTACTTTATAGGTTATCAAAATATACTTAAAAAAACATAGCTTACCACACTGGAACTGGGTGTCACTTTATGCTATGATAGTCTCTAAGCACACCACAATTTCACTTGTGCCAAAAGTTAACCAAACAATTCTGTGGGTGAGGTAACCTTACCAGATTATACATGTACAAGTTTCCTATGTAAAGATCTGCAAAGATAAAGCAGTCATGATCTTCAGCCTTCACAAAAAAAGATGGCAAATGCCACAGGTGAAATACAAGAGTTTAAAAGTTGCTTCCAGAATTATTCTACCCTGGCAGGAACTCCTGAAGCTGCACAGGAATGCAAAGAGACCTTTCTGTAACTGGCACATGCAAGTAAATTTAGGGGATTTATACCTTGTAGGCATTCGTACTTTTCAGCTTAAAAGAACTCTGTTCACTATTTGTTTGCCTGAAGCATGTAGGAACAAAACAAGAAGGGTATGGAAAATCATTTACAATCTCTGTGCTTGCTGGTTGCAGAACTTCATGAAGTAACAGCTTCACCATCTGGACTGATGCCAGCATTACATTCATTTTGTGCTGCATGTAGTAGTAGACTTCCCCGCCTCCCTCCCCCCCAGTTTTAGTTAAGATGCTTCAGCAAGTTCTCCTGTTATTAGGAAAAAACAGTACTGTAAGGAGAGTTGTCATCTTTATTTTAAAATCTTGTAGCAATTGATTTATGTTCATTCTATTAACACCAATTTTGACAAGTTTTGTGTTTCATTTCATGTAACAGAAGTTTCGTAGCAGAAGTACCATAGCAGACATCTCAGAAGGGTGGTGGGTAAAGGCTTGCAGGCCATTTTTCATTTTTTAAACCACCTTCACAATTCAAAGCTACAACCAATTTAATTTCTTTCCAAATCAAGAAAATGGTATATAACCAGATACACGCGTGAAAACGACGCTAGCCAAATTATAGCTTTGTACAAAAAGCAGTTACACAACATTGATTAAGTTACTGGATCAGTACCTTTTGAAGTTGCTGAAATACACAATAACTAGATTATTGAAGATTAGAGGTGATGTTTTTATTTGAAGGATGGGAGTTGGGAGAGGAAAGGAGTTAAAAATAGTAAAATATAGTCATCACGAAGAACCCATCCCTGCTAGTAAGCTACCAAACATAAGTTTTCTTTTTAAACTCAATTACCAATATATTTACAGAACAATCTCTGAATATCAATCAGTTGCCATGAAATATGGAGGCTAACCAGATAAACAAAAACAATACCTGAAATAAAACTGAATTTGAACGGACATGCAGTTTGCTTCCATCACTTGTATTTTATCAGGCATCTGTATGCCGTGCAATATGTTTCATTCAACACATCATTTGAAACCCATAGGTAACCAAGAAAGAAATAAGTTGTTACAATTAGCATCTTTATGTAAAATTTCACACTCCAGAAAACAATGCAATTGACACAGGGCTTACATAGAACATTGGGTGGTATTTTGCACTGTGATGACTTGGAAATACAATTCACTGCACAACACTGACAGAATATTTACAGAAAACAACAGAGCAATCATTAGTCTTTTATAAATAAGGTGACCAAATATCCTGGGCCTCCTATCGAGACGTGCAATCCCCTTCACGATGAAGACAAGTCAGTTATCTTGCTCTAATGAGCCTTCTCCTTTCCCTATCAATACTCTAAAAACAACAGATAGATATCACACACAACCAAAAGCAGTCAAACAACAACAAAAACCCCTTCTTGTTATCAAGTTTAACATCTCAAGCTTAGTTCATCCTTTTAGTATTGCATCTCCTTTTAATCCTGTTTCTATTGCTTTACTTCAGCAGGTTTCCCCTTTCCCTGATGCAATGCCGATCCCCACCTTACTAAGAGCAGGGAGGACTCGGGAGAGCTGAACTGCAAAAAGCTATTGTTCTAGAAGTAAGGAAGACAAAAGAACACAGCTTGCAGGCAAAAGAAAAAGGAAGTTGAAGACCCCATTTGTGTTTAGAAGGGTTATGAGACAATGACTTTGGTCACCTTAGTTACAAGTCTCATATTAACCTGCATGCATGTACTTTTGTTTTAATCTGTGAAAGTGTTGAATCTCACAACCACATGGTTCTATTCAAACACCAAACTGGTAAACAGTGTTATGAACAGCAATCATAGGGATGAAATAACTTTTTCTCCCAGAAATCACAAAACAAGATATTCCTAGAAGTCTTTTTTTCCAGATGTGCATATTGATCTGTACAAGTCCCATCTCTTTGTAGCCAGCAGTAATCCTACAGGTATGACCAGCTCAAGCAGTGACCCTTTACAAGTTGCATATGTGGTTGCCATTAAAGTTGACATTCACCAAAGGTTACCGTACATGGTTCTGGGTACCACAATTATCGGCAAATCACTTTAATGGTGACCACTATATTACAAGTTACTCCAACTACACACACATCAGAAAGGATTGTTACAGAGACAATACTTTACACTCCTATACCTGCAGCTTTCAGTTTGGTTTATTTTGTTGCTGTTTTCTACATGGAGGTGGTCTCCCATGACGCATAATGTGTTTTTCCAAACTATCCAGGATGGCAATAGCAATCCTTTGGACATGTGGATCAGTCTGGACGTTTTCCTTGATGTTGTATAAGTGCTGTAAACCACCTTCTTCTATTAACATGCTGCAGTACCTGGCAGCTGTAATAGGATTAAAAAAAAAAAGTATCTAGGGTGAATGTCTTCCATATGCAACTACCATTCAGCATCCCACCCTAAGGGTAAATCAACCAATAAAGACTTCATTCTGATTATGTAATGCTTATATTTGATAGCCCACTTAGAATCATAGAATCATAGAATCATTGAGGTTGGAAAAGACCTCTAAGATCATCGAGTCCAACCGTCAACCCAACACCACCATGCCCACTAAACCATGTCCCTAAGCGCCTCATCTACACGTCTTTTAAATACCTCCAGGGATGGGGACTCCACCACTTCCCTGGGCAGCCTGTTCCAATGTTTCACCACTCTTTCAGTAAAGAAATTTTTCCTTACATC